AAAGCTGGTGCTTGTCCCGAGGCCCACAGAGGATGTGGCGGCCCAACCACAGACGAGGCTTGTGTCAGCAGGACAGACGCCTAGGTCACAGGTGCTTTCTTCTTCCCACCAGGTCCCAGATGGGGTCCCAGGACCCGACAGTTTCCAGCAGGGAGTGCCCCCAGCTTGGGGCTGCAGTGGGCTCTGGTCCTTTGTGACCTGCGGGCCAAGGCTTTGCTCCTCACCTGGCCGTGTGAGCAGTGCCTGGTGCTGTCCCCAGTGCTCAGGCTCTAGTCACCGGCGGCTCAGGGGAAGGGGCCTGGCAGGTGTCGGGGACAGGAGAGCACTAAGGAAGAGCCCTGTGTGCAGACAGGCCCTTGGGGGCATGGGAGCCCCGTCCTGCGGGCACACGTGTCCAGGGGGCAGGAGGGGACTGCAGGCGAGCAGATGCCTGCGGGTGGGGCTGTTCCTGGTGGCGCAGCAGGTGGCCAGGCGGTGGCTTCTGAGCAGGACTTGCCCCGTGACAAGCCCACCCAGGAGAGGCAGCCAGGGTCTGTGGACCCCGAGTTGGCGCATGCTCTGAGGCTGTGCAGCCGTGAATGTGTCCCAGGGCCCGGTGGTGGGATGCGTCTCCCAGGGCCCCCGGGCCGTGGAGGACCACCCCGCCTCGCCTCCCGCCCGTTGACTTCACAGGCGCCACGCAGCGGGGGTGAGCAGGTCGTCCACGTTTGGCTGTGCCAGCAGGGCCCCAGGGTTAGCTGTGAGGCACAAAGACGCCGCTCGCTGCTGGTCCCCGGCCCCAGCCTCATCCCCGCGGAGGCCCACGGCAGAGCGTCTCCTGGGGACGCTGCCATCGCTCCAGGAGACGTCCCCGAATGCCGGCAAGGGAAGCCAGGCTTCGTCAGCTGGGCGGCTTGGGAGAAGCTAGGAGGGTGACGTGTGGGCTTCCCACCCCTGCGCGGCGAGGTGTGTTGGAGCGTCTGGAAAAGCGGGAGTCGCCAAGCAGGGGCGAAGTGGGGCCGTCTCTCTTCCACCACAGTCACCTCTGTGTCCCGCACCGGCACAGGGCTGCGTGTCTATCTCAGCACACTGACGAAGGCTCCTCTCTAAAAAAATCCACGAAGGCAGCTGGGCTCGGTGGCTCAGCCTGTAATCCCGCGCCTTTGGGAGGCTGAGGTGAGTGGATTGCTTGAGCCCACGGGTTCGAGACCCGCCTGGGCAGCGAGACCTCATCTCTACAATAAATCAAAAAAATTAGCCAGGCGTGGTAGCGCATGCCTGTAGTTCAGGCTACTTGGAAGGCTGAGGCAGAAGGATCGCCGGAGCCCAGCAGGTCGAGGTATGGTGGCCGGGAGCGGCCACTGCACTCCAGTCTGGGCGACGGAGTGAGACTCCAACCCAAAAAAAAAATTAAATAAATTAGCCAGGTGTGGTGGCACATGCTTGTAGTTCTAGCTACTTAGAAGGCTGAGGCGGAAGGATCGCCTGAGTCCAGCAGGTCGAGGCTGCGGGACCATGAGAGCCTGGGCGACAAAGTGAGACTCCAACTCCAAAATAAGTTAAAATAAAGTAAACCAGGAGTCAGCAAGGAAGTGCAAAGCAAAACCACACCCACCAAGCTGGCTGTGCCCAGAAGACAGCCGGAGAAGTGCCACTGAAGATGGTGCAAGTTGGAGTCCCTGTGGGGCTTGGCAAGCGGGCAGCAGCGGCTTGGGAAACCGGCCACAGCTCCACCAGGATTGAGGGAGAACATCCATCTGAACTGGCAGGCCCATCCCAGGTCCAGACCCCTGGGAATGAAGACACATGCACAGAGGAACTCGCACACAGGTGCTCCCAGAAGGAGACACCCAACGGCCGAAAGGTGTATGCAGCCCAAGTGTCCAGCAGCAAATAGAACACACGGCATGGCCCGCCCACATGTGGACACAGCTCAGCCACAAACAGGAAGGAGCCTCTGACAGAGGCCACAGCGTGGAGGGGCCCTGAGGTTGTCACATCGGTGAGACCCAGACACGGAGGGACACAGTATATGAGGCCATTTGTGGGACACTTCCAGAACAAGCCAGACCTCAGAGCCAGGATGTGGAGTGGTGCTGCATTGTAAATTTCTCAGCACACAATTTGCAGATAATTGTAAAGCACATAATACCCTGTGGTGAGTTCTTTGTAGCCCACGATTCTTAGAATAATTTTGTTGATTTCGTTGATGGCCAACCTGTGGTGGGTTTTTTGGAGTTGGAGTTGGAGGAGTCTCACTCTGTTGCCCAGTCTGGAGTCCCCGTGGTGGTTTTTGTTTTTGTTTTTTTTGTTTTTGTTTTTTTTGAGTTGGAGTCTCACTCTGTCGCCCAGACTGGAGTGTAGTGGCATGCTCATGGCCATTGCAGCCTCAACCTGCTGGGTGCAGGCGATCCTTCTGCCTCAGCCTTCCAAGTAGCTGGAACTACAGATGTACACCACTACCCCCAGGTAGCTTTTTGGGGTTTGTATGTGTGATTTATTGTAGAGACGAGGTCTCACCAAGTTGCCCGGGCTGGTCTTGAACCCCTGGGCTCAGGCTGTCCTCTCGTCTCGGCCTCCCAAAGTGCTGGGATTACAGACTGAGCCACCACGCCCAGCTACTTAGTGAATATTTTAAGTCTACTGTTGAGACCTACTCACATGAGAAAAGATTCCTCTCAGAACATTGCTACTCCTTGACAAGGCGCCTGGTCACCCGAGAGCCGTAACGGAGACCCGTGGGGATGCTCTTGTGTTTTCTTGCCTGCTGACATCCCTATAGCCCATGCGTCAAGGAGTTGCTTCAGTTTCTTGTGTTGTTATTTGAGAAGTAAGTTTCCTAAGGCTATGGCTGCCACGGTGACTCCTCTGTGAGTTGAAAACCTGGAAAGGATTCACCGTCCTAGGTGCCACTGGGAACATTCGTGACTCGTGGCAGGAGGTCAGAATGTCAGCATTCACAGGAGTTTGGGAGACGCTGATTCCAGGCCATGTGGATGGCTTTGGTGGCGGAGGCAGTGCCTGCAGATGTGGTGGGAACGGCAAGGGAGAGCTAGACATGGCGCCTGAGATGTGACGGGTTCGCTGGCATCTCGTGGTCAGACTTGAGTGGGGGGTTCTTCTCGTGGACGAGCAAAGAAGGAGGCGGCTTGAGACAGGCTCCCCTGGGGCCACCGCTGGGGACGTTGAAACGACAGCAAAGGACTTTGAACCTCCCACAACGGGCCCAAAGGCGGCAGCTGGGAGGGCTCGACTCCAGTTCTGGAAGGGTCCTGCTGTGGGTGAGAGGCTGTTGGTCACCGTCACACGCCACAGAGAGATCTCTCACGAGGAAGCATCAGCCAGTGTGGTGGGCTTCATTGTGGCGTCTGAAGAAACTGCCATGGCCTCCCACCTTCAGCAGCCACCATCCCGATTGGTCAGTGGCCGTCGACATCCAGGCAAGACCCTCCACCCTCCCGGCGAGAGGACCACGACTCACGGGAGGCCCGGACAACCACTGGCACTCTTCAGCAATCAAGGATTTCCATTTATCTTTTGAGGCAGGGTCTCGCTGTGCTGCCCAGGCCGGCCTCGAACTCCCGGACCAAGCGCTCCTCCTGCCTTGGCCTCCCAAGTAGCTGGGACTGCAGGCATGAGCCGCCCGTGTGGGCAGAATGAGGATGTGTGTGCTGTTCTTTCAGACGCCCGCGCTGGACACTCGGCACTCCTGGAAGTCCAGGCGTGACGTGTGCCCAGAGGCCAGGATGCCTGTGTCCGCCCTCGGCTGTGAGGCCTGCCGTGGCGGGCGGTCTGGAGGGAGCCTGCTGGGTCTCCAAGGCACGCCTGTGTATCGTGCAGCGTCTGCATGCAGGAGCAACAGATGTGACCCCAGGGATGTGGAGAAGGGTGTGGGTGGCAGCGTGCAAGGGCACTGACGCCCACGTTCTGTGGCTCCCCTGGGCGTGCCGCCTCGACTTGGCCACCGGGCTCCCCACGTTCTGCCGCCAGTATTGTGTGCCCCTGTGCCCCCTTTCTGGGGCCCGAGTGGCCAACCTGCCTGGGGCTGTGAGGGTGGGGCTCCAGCCTGCCTCCCACCCAGAGCCCTGACTGTGGGAGGGAACAGGAAGGCACAGTGCTGGACCGAGCGGCCCCGCTCAGGGACCCGGCGGGGGAGCTCAGGCGTAGGGCCGGTCGCCGGGGCCACGGGTTTCTGGGCCCACCTTGCGCCCGGCCCTGCTTGGGCGGCCGTGTCCTCCCTTCTGTGCCCTAGGCCCCGCCGTTCCCTCCCCAGCCCCACTCTCCACCACCCACCCCTGCTGTTAGCTGCCCGGCATCCGGCCTGACCCCCAGCATGGCTGCTGGAGACCCACAGCCCAGACTGGTGGGGGTGGGGTACTGCCGTGCGCTTAGCCGGCCCGTCCCCTACATCCTCGCCGGCGTGGGCTCTGTCCCCTTGGCTCCGTCTGCCCTGGCATCCATCCCTCCCCTCTTGGAGCAGCCCTGGGCACGGAGACAGGGACTGCGGGACGTCTCCCGTGTCTGGGCCTGGGGCCAGCCTCCAGTGCCAGGGGTGCCTGGCCCCTCCACAGTGCTGGCGGCCACACCCTCAGGCAGAGCACTCCAGCCCACCCTCCCCACAGAAAATGCCTTGAGCCCCCAGGCATCCCCAGTGTGACCTCTGACCTCGCCGATGGCCTGGCCTGTGCCAGCCTTCAGAGACCCCTTGAGCCCCAGCTGGCACGGGCCTCGGTCACCCCTGCCCACCCCACCCCCGTGCCCGACTGGTGTGGGCTGGCCCCCTGCCCGACCCGCCCCCGTACCTGGCTGGTGTGGACCTTGGTCACCTGGCCCGGCCCGCCCTGCCCTTGGGGGTCCTGACCCGGCCTTTGTTTGTCCGCAGCTGGGAGCCACGAGATTTGAGGCAGTGGGACCCGTTGGCAGGATGTCTCCTCCCCCCGAGAGCAGCCCTGAGGCCACCGAGATGAGCACTGCGGCTGGGCCTGTGAGCGAGCCTGCCT